CGTGAAGTTAATACATCACCAAAACAGTCTCACCCGATAAATAAGTGGCGTAGGCCGCAAACACTCTAGAGTTTTTGCCCCTCGAGGGAAGCCATATTGGGTGAGCTCTGCTAGAGACGAAGAGCGCACTGCTGTGAGCGGAGAACAGATCCGCCCGCCGGTGCAGGAGGGCAGCGATGCGGAGCTTGCAAGTTTGCAACTGCAGGTNGCGAGCGGAGAACAGATCCGCCCGCCGGTGCAGGAGGGCCGCGACGCGGAGCTTGCAAGTTTGCAACGGCAGATTTCGCAATTGGCGGCCCTGGTGGAGGAGTCGGTGAAGAAGAAGGAGCCTGGCAGCGTCGTGGCGGATGCAGCCAGTAGGGGTGGCTGGGTTGCTGCCCCCAGAGGCCAACGAGAAGAGCCCACGCTGCCGTTCGGCGGTGGCGGGGGATTTCTCCGGCAGCAAACGAGTGATAGTGGGCAAGGACCAAGGCAGCTGCTGGAAGGCGGCCGGGCCAGCAGATCGGGAGCGAACCCTGTTGGACCAGCCGGAGTGGGCCCGGGCATAGGACCGGACTACGGGGAAGCGAGGGGGTTAAACCCCCCAGGTGAGATACCCGTGATTCGAGGGAATGGAGAATNGGGGTTTAACCCCTCAGGTGAGATACCCGTGATTCGAGGAAATGGAGAATCCCTCGACGGCTACAGCAGTAGCCACATGAAGAGAGTATCAGTCAATGCCCCGCGTCCCGAAGGGGGGAGTCGCGGCCATAGGTATGACTCGTGGAGAAAGTCGCTTATCCAAGCGGCCAAGACTGTAGGACTGGACGGCCAATTGATCGGCAACAACGAGAGACATGCACCTGTCGGCAACCCACACGTGCGAAGGTCGGAGCTGTACCGCCTCCAATACACCAGCGACGAGGTCCAGAGGGGCCTCCAAGCGTTCCATTTTGTGACAACTGTCATCGTCAGAGAAGCCGACAAGGCGATCGTGAACAAATGCAAGACCGCAAAAGAGATCCTCGCGGAACTCGACAACATCTACGATCCGGAATCGCAGGGCTCGAAACAAGCCCCCATGAAGCAAATGTTCAACTTCACGATCCCTGCACACAGCAGCAGAAACCCCATCGAGCACCTGTACTCGCTCGAGCTGCTGTATACACGCCTACGCGAAAAAGGGCTCCACGCTGACGCACCCTTTGTACTCGCCCGCTTCGTTGGTTCCCTCCCACCCGAGTACCCAACAAGCCAAGCTCCTGTTCA